TTTGAAAGGAACATTGTCTCCAGATTTGGAATACCAACCGAGATGGTGACTGATAATGGAACACAGTTTTCTGATAAATGATTCAAGGAGTTGATGAAAGACTTAAAGGCCAAACACCGGTTCGCATCTGTGGAACACCCATAGTCAAATGGGCAAGCTAAAGCTGCAAATAAGGTAATTGTGTGTGGGCTCAAGAAACGAATGATGGATGCCAAAGAAAAATGGGTTCATTAATTATACTTTGTCTTGTGGGCATACCGAACAAGTACCCAGACAGCAATGGGGGAAACCCCTTTCAGATTGACATATGGGTGTGAAGCCATGATCCCGGTGGAGATTGGAGAACCTTCTTGGAGGAGAATGAATGCTATTAAGTAGAATGAACAAGAAAATAGTAAACTGCTTACTGTTGAGTTGGATCTCATTGATGAAGCCAGAGTCACAGCTCATTGCCGGGATATGATGGTCAAACAACTAATAGTAGTCAGGTACAATAAAAAAGTGAGACCAAGAGTGTTTGAGAAAAATGACTTGGTACTCAGAAAAGAAGACATCGGCAACAAAAATGCCAGAGATGGAAAGCTAGCTGCAAATTGGGAAGGTCCTTACCGAGTTAAAGAAAATTTTGGAAGATGAGCCTATGTCCTGGAGACAACAGAAGGCAAAGGAATCAAGAGAACCTGGAATGCGGATAAGCTGAAAATATATTACAGCTAAATTCGGGATCAACCTTCTAAAGATTTGAAGTTTTTCAATTTATTTGAACTTTTTCTTGGTGAATTATTTTCCCTCTTTAGGGACTTGACTAAAGCCGAATATGCCGACAAATTCATGTAATCGACAAATTTGATATCAATAAATGAGGAATTTTTCTTCTTTAAGACTTATTCTTATTCGGTTTTGATGCATCAATACACATTCTGAGGTACAAGTGCAATTTATCATACTGACTCTGATCAAGTCGAAATGCTCCTTACCGTGGTCAAAGGACTTAAGAGGGACAAGTGATAATACTGCCTTTACCTTGGGTACAACCGGATTACAAAATTCGGGTTATGATGAAACGATTAAAGTCAATAAAGACAATTTCCATCATCAATGCAGGCTTGCTAAAATGGTTAAGTCAAAATAAACAAGCCTCATAGAAAATGATAGAAAACGGAATCCGTGTAATATTTTTTTGACCTCGACCAGGTCAATATACAGGCACTCGTAAAATGCATGAGTTGCAAAAATGATAGTATATTCAAGTTGTTAAGAATAACCCATGTCGGATGGGGAGTAACACGACTAACGTTTAAGAAGACTTGGAAAATTTTCTAAGTTATAAACGTAGATAATGGATATACAAATCTATTTATCAAATAAAGGAAATGCTAAGACCTGAGAAGTATTTAATAAATACTTCAGGCAACCCGAAAAGAAGATAAACCTTAAGTACGTAGGCAGACGCGTCTAAGTTGTTAAAAGGATATGCAATGCAAAGTATAAAATGCGAAGACAGATTATGAAGCAAAGTAAAATACTTCAAACAAGTCAAAAAATTAAAATTGGGATATAACCGGCAATATTCAGAGCAAATTAAAAAGGGGCTCAAGAACCCCAATTAAAAATGAAAAATTAAAAGTAAAAACCGACATCCCGGTCCTTCAAGCAGTAGGGATGGCAAGAGTCTCCTCTGGTGCCGCTGGAACCTCAATGGGCTGAGTGGTTGCCTCTTCACCCTCTTCAACAACAATCACCTCCTCCTCAGTTTGAGTGACAGAGTCACCCACTAGAGATGCGGACGGAGGAGGAATGATTTGGCCATTGCTGACGTATGCCCGAAAATTCAAGCTGGCCATATTCAACTGCGCGCCAGGGTTGAGGATTTGAAGTTGGCTTAAGGCATTGTTGAAGGAACCGGTGATGGATTTTTTGAGTTCACCCCGGTAGAGCTGAGCATTATCTTCAGCGTCTTTCAACTTGTTTTCCAACTTCTCATACATTATCCGGAAGTCCTTCATCCTCAGGGAATCGCCAGTATGCAGGCTTCGAAGCTGAGTGTTGTCTCGCTGAAGATTAGTGAAGTCCTCCTTCACTTTGGCCATATCAGCAATAGTCTGGTCATGCTCCTTTTTGAGAGAGGAGAAATCCTCCTTCACCTTTAGCAGCTCGGCAACCGTCTTCGCCTTCTTTTCGCGAGATGCAGCAGCCTCATTAAGGGTGCGAAGATATTTATGCTTAAGAGAAAGCAAAGGTCTTGCCATTCCATCCATCTTTACGCAGCAGAGCTCCATCTTCTGATGTCCCCCAGAGCAGACCAGTTCGTCTTCTCGAGGGGGGATTATCTCAAAATTCTCTAACTTCCCAACGGGAAACCCGACCACATCATCAGTACTCATCTCGGAGGTGATATTTAAGACCTCGTAAGTTACCCAGGGAAACTGGGATACTAAAGAGGCAGGAGGAGACTCAGAACATGACTCGACAAAACCTGACTCCTCTACGACTTCAGGCGGGAGATGCCATAAATACCTAAAACAATAAAAGAGTTTAATCAGAAGAACATAATAGGCATACCTGAATCAAAAAAGATACTAGATGGAGAGTCATTAGAAGATGAAGAGGAAGGGTTGTCCGAGATAGCGATTGGATCATCTGCCTCACCAGATGCAAGGGTAAAATCTGGAACATCCTTATGTCGGTAACTAGCCAAAGTAGACTCAGTTAAAGAGTCACACCGTTGTTCAATAAGTTTGGAACTCAGAAAAATGCAAGAGTTGCAAGGATCGGCCTGGAAAAGATCGTTGAATAACCCAGCGGGTTGAAGGAGGTACAGGTTTTGTTATGGACGGGCGATGGGGAATTTTTGGACTAGTTTGTGGAAAATATTAGGGGATGCGTTCTTTCATGGAAATACGGCTACCACCCCGGCTGGAGGAACCACTACCCCGGCTCTGACCTAATTCCCAACCAGATAACCCGGACTTTCTCTTTGACCTGCTACCGCGGTTACCACGAAGCATGGCTTCTTGTTCCTCTTCTTCGGTTCTAGGAATCCCCCACAACAAAAAACGAGCACCAGGGGGAATCTTTTTCAAAAATTCAGAATCTTCCTCCTTCTTCTCCCCACAATGCAGAGCTGAAGAGGGAGATTTTTTACCCCTCATTTTGTTAAGTTCCAAACGACACCAAGTTTTAAAACAACAAAGGAAGAATGACAAGGAGAGGGTAATGCACGAGTGAAACAATGTGCAGTACTTTAGAAATGCAGAAAGTTGATGCAAAAAGAAGAAAAACAAACAACAAACTCAAAATAGAAATGGCCAATGTCTAAAATGCAGACAACCAAATGCAAACTATTCAGGAAGAAGATAAGGCAAGTGTGAAGTGAAGTGGAAAATACCTGAGTGAAGAAGACAAAGAAGATGAACTCCCAGAAAATGCAGAAAAACACTTGCAGATGCTAGAGCTCAAAGGATTTAGGGCAAAAATTCTCCAAAGTAAGCAAAGTAAAAAACAAAAAGGGGAAAAGGTACGTACTTATATAGCCATAAGCGTAACTGTTGCGGTTACGAATGGCAAAGGTCAGGGGCACCAATGTCACTTCGCTCGTAAGTGGTAACTGCAGCAGTCGTGGATGGCAAGGGTCAGGGGCACCAGCGTCATTGCACTTAAAAAGCAATGATTAGACGCCTGAAACGACGCTCCTAATAAATGCGCACGAAACGCAAAAATGGCATAAAACGGCTGCAGCACGCTAACACATGCGGCTAGCAGCACATGCCAGAATGAAATGAATGCTAATGATAAGTCGGCACGTGAGACTGAAGACACGTGTATACAACAACTTTTAGCCGGGTTATACGACTGATGCTGGGGGACAACTCGCCAGTTGGATCCCAACTACTCAAGCATATTCGTTACCCGGTTACACATGTAGAGTATCTTTCCGGGTTCATGCATAACCCGTCCCCGTAGGTGACTAGGGAAAATCATTTTCGGTTCCAGAAGAAAGCTACAAACTCAAGACGTGTGCGTAAGGAATGATACTTGAGGGCAACTCGCCAGTTGGATCCCAACTACTCAAGATCATCCCTAACTCGGTATAGGTATACAAGAAATGTTTTCCCTGGTTTATGTTCAACCCGCCGAGATAAGGGGCAATGAGGACCACGGTGGAAAATCCAGAGATATAAGGAACACGTATGCAAAGAGTTTATACAACTCAAACGCTCTCAGCTCAACAGAAAACCTAAAGCAAATGCAAGGAAATTCATCCCGGCAACCCGGACGCCCAGGTAGCCTGACCGAGGGGAAACTGTTATGAACCCGTATAAAGGGCCCATAGAATGACAAGCCCAATCAAAGGAAATCCAAGATTCAAATCAAGTATAATTACAGATAGTATCCATCAAGGATACTAATCTTAATATGACAGCGTAGCAGACAGGCCTGGACCTTTATCAGAGGTACTAAATGCCCATATCATACTACCCACATGTAATCTCTATAAATAAAAGGTAAACCTTAAATGTACGTTACACTCTCTCTTACTGTTATGCTATCACTTGTGCACACACACTAGATCCAAGATCAACATACCATTCCATTGAGTTGGACATCTCTGTCTGTAAGACAAAACACATATCTTACTAGTTAAGGATACTTTAAGCTTGATGTGCTTGTGCTTTAGGAAAAAAACAAAACACACACAACTCTTAAATATATGCAAGAGAAATTGCTTGCTACTAATGAAGCAACATTTTTGCTTGCTGCTAAGAATGAGGCAAAATTGTTTAAAATGAAAAGAAAAACATATTAATGGGAGTGCGAATCATATTCTTAAAGGAAGAATATGTCACGAGGGGAGACGATAAATTGAGATATGATGTCAGACGTGATGCATTGCAGACATTGATATACGATATTATAGCGTGTGGGGCATAGAAGATGGATCTGATTTCTCATGTTATTTAGAGAACTTCAGATACCAATTCTCATTCCCCTCAGTACTCCCTTTTGGACATTTGCTTTCAAAAAGATTACTCCCTGCTTCTTTTCCTTTCCCTTTTGCCTTGTTTTAACACAATAGACACGTCTGCGTGTTCTATTATATTCTCTTTGTCTCTCTCTCTCACCCTTCATCATACTAACTCACTCATAACCAATTCAGACCAAAACATTTCACTTTCCTATAATGGAAATTCATCACCAACCCATCAAATCTAGGTTCAGTCGTATCTGTGTCTTCTGTGGCACCAGCCCAGGAAAGAACCCCAGCTACCAACTCGCTGCTATCCAACTCGGCAAACAATTGGTAATGTCAACACTTCTTATTCTCAATTCTTTTTCGGATAAAACCAGGTTTTTCTGTCTCCAATAATTTTATTTTTATTTTTTTAAGGTTATTATTAGAATACTTACAAACCATAATACAACTTATCTTGTCACTTGATTTTCTCTTTCAATCCAGTGCTTTTTTTTAACTATGTACCAAATCAGAGTGCCCTCTTCTTCTCACTAAAATTTCCATGAGTTGGATTTGGGGCTGGAAGAATAGATGAGAGAATTAAACTAATTCATGTGCTTTCTCCTAATAACTTAGGAGAGTTGATTCGTGACATAATATCACAGTTTTATGACATAGTTTTTTATAATTCAATTTATTCATGTTTCTTCATCAAACATTTTAATTAACCAAATACGAATAGCTAATTAATTGAAGTGCTATATCAGTTTAATTAATTAGATTAACGTCCTAAAAAATGAAAACTGAATGCAGGTAGAGAGGAACATCGATTTGGTTTATGGGGGAGGAAGCATTGGGTTGATGGGTTTAATCTCACAAGTTGTCTTTGATGGTGGACGCCACGTGTTAGGGTAACTCACCACTCTGTTCCACCCCTCTATATCTGTCTCTTTCTGTACTCGTGATGTTGATGAAGCTTCCTATTGTTGCAGGGTCATTCCCAAGACTCTTATGCCAATAGAGGTTTTTAGTGTTATTTAATAATAAAAAAATTATTATGCTATATATTGCAGTCATATATGTTTAATTAATTATATGTTCAATGAAAAGAAAAAAAAAATAAAGTGGTGGAAATGTTAATTGAATGGATTCAGATCACGGGAGAGACTGTCGGAGAAGTCAAAGCTGTATCGGACATGCACCAACGCAAAGCCGAAATGGCTCGACAAGCTGATGCATTTATTGCGTTGCCAGGTTTTTTTTTTATTATTATTCTTTTAAATTTGTGATCTTTCATTTTTTTATTTTTTTTTATTTTTGGATAACTATGATCTTTCATCTGATAGTTCTTTCTTTTCCCACTTGTTAGATGAATTATTTTTTTTGGATACACTTGTTAGATGAATTATGAACACACGTATGTATGATGGGATGGCAAAGATTCTGACCTTTTATGCGCTAAGAATTTTCACGTACAACCAATAAATCCCAAATGATACCACCTATTTTTGTTTTGAATCACAAATCTAAATCACGTGCTATCTTTTAACTAAAAGTTCTTTTTCTTTCATATTTCATGAAGACTGAAACAAGTGGCCCAGCTTCTCAATCATAGAGGAGCTTGGCTCTCTCATAAGTTTGGGAAAAAAAATTAAATATTTTTTATAAAGGGAATAAAATCTCGAAAATTCGAAAAGTGAAAGGCTAAATTAATTGAATGATTGGAAAAAGCATATGCAAGCATACATTGTACTAAAGAAAAGAAAATCAATATGATTGAAAGAGTTAAATAGAGAAAGTTGAAGGTTGGTCACAAATGCTGACTTTTAACTAATATATAATAAATAAATTGGTTTGGCCTTGTCTTTATTTAAACTTCAAACGTCTCCTCTCCTTGTCATCTTTTATTTTTTTAAACACTTTAAAACTTAAATATATTTATTATAGTAGTCAATTTTTGTAGTTCTTTTTTCATATTACTCTGAATATTTTATGGTAATTTGTAATCCTTTCTTTTATATTATTTTCTTAATGAAATTCATGTTGACGATTTTCACTTAAATTTTATATTCTTTATTATTTTTCTTTAAACATAAATATATATGCTAAAAAATATGTGGTAACTTGGCGCTGAGTTAGTGGGGTTGGATATGTGTTCGATTCCCGCTGAATGCATTCTTGGGGAGGGGGCTGAACCTTTAGCCATCATTGTTCCCCCGCACTCCGGATTAGCCTCATAGTCGGCTCAAAGAGTCGAAGCTCGTGGGGATACCGGAGGGAGCCAACTCGTCTCAAAGAGATAATTAGGGTTGGGTAACTCAAAAAAAAAATATGTGTTATAAATTTAATTTATGGGTTCGCTTTTTCTACAGTTACTGCAGATAAGTTATCTACAGTAAGACTAATACGACGTCATTTTGGAGCGAAAACTATGGTGTATTTGTAATTTTAATTTATTTCAGGGTTATTATAGTCTTTATAGTTATAATATTTTAATATTTCAATCTCAAAACGACGTCGTTTTGAAAGTAAATGCAGATAACTTATCTGCAGTAACTGCAGAAATATTTTTCTCTTAATTTATATATTCAACATTTATTTTAGCTCCCAAAAATTTACTCGAAGCTTCCCCATTGATTGTAACCCAAGAAATAAAACAACTATGACAATATCTCGGAACACACATATTCAGCTTTAACTTTCATTTTTTCTTCTTGTGCTTGAGTAAGAGCAAACAGCTTCCCAAGATAACTTCATCGGTAACTCTCAGCTGTTTGTTCCAAGTAATAAGATTGTACGTAGTGGTTGAAAATCTTATGAAAATTCTATTAATGTACTAATTTATTGGAAATCTATATTCCTATAGGTGGATATGGCACCCTGGAAGAACTATTGGAAGTGATCACCTGGGCTCAACTTGGAATCCATGATAAACCCGTAAGATATCGAAGATAAAAACTCCTTTGCAGTCTCTTTTTTATTCATTAGACATTGGTTTTTAATAAAGTGCTTTAAAGTCCAAAACGGAAGTGTACCAAAACTGACTCTTGAATAGTAAAAATACTTACGTTACTGTTAGTTTGTATCAAAGAAACGTTACTGTTAGCCTGTCATGAACCTTGAGCTAATGATAGCGGCTTTCACTTTATCGACACTAATACAAATCTAGCTTATAAGTAGTCGTTTTTGTGGGAACAACTTTCAATGAAAACACTAATTGTTATGAACCTTGAGATCACCACACCAAAAGCTAACTCAATGAATGAGAGTGTCCAAGACCTTATAAATCGCACATTAGTTGTATAGACAACCAATATGAGACTTATAACGTAGGCACACATATGAGACCTACTATAGTAATGTGACACGCATTAATGTACCTCTTATTTTTTAAATCATATAAATCAATAAACCCTTTTTCTCTCCTTGTGATGGAAAAGTGTTCTATCATTTACATCACGTGAAAGATACTATCAATTAGTCTTGTGAAAAAAAAGTATTTTAAATCAACTATTAATAAATAAAGGCATATATATTATTAAGAAAAGTTCCAATTCGTTCATGAGGATAAAGAAAAGACACAATGAAGGTCTTAATCATTGAAAAGCTATAACAGTAAAAATGAATGATTAACGAGAAAAATGGGGAAATGAGAAAATGGGTTGGTTGCAGGTGGGATTGTTGAACGTGGATGGCTACTATAACTCGTTGCTATCATTCATGGACAATGCTGTAGACGAAGGTTTCATAACACCAGCTGCCCGTCACATTATTGTGTCTGCCCAAACTGCCCAAGACCTCATGTGCAAGCTTGAGGTACATAATGCAACCCAATTTCCAATTTTCCATTCCACATGCTCTAGCTTAAACTATATATTACTTTATTTGTAAATCATGGGTTCTTAATTTCCATTTCATTCAAATAGTTAATAACACACATATGGTGTTTAGAATATGTATGATAACGTGCCCAATTGGAGCAAAATGATCTACTAATTAGTTGTTCTTTTATTATCTCCTTGCTAATTTTATCAGGAATATGTCCCCAAACACTGTGGCGTGGCCCCGAAGCAAAGTTGGGAGATGGACCAATCAGACATTTCTCGTTGACCAAGTCGAATCTATATATTAATTATTTTCTCTTGCCAGAAAATAGCTTGCTCAATTAATACAACTCAAGCCTTTTAGCTGACATTATGTATTTTCTAAAGTACAAACTAAATGTGCTTTAGATTCTGACATGTTTGATCGAAGATGTGGGATTACACCAGAAAATTTCTATACTCATCGGTGTAATAGTATCTATGCTATATAACTATAAGTTGGCCGAAGTGCGATCGATGATGAGTACCTTCTAAATAGTTATTTTAAACAATTATTGAGTTTATAGATCGATTAGCTCTTTAAATTTCTGCCTATTATTAAATACATAACTTGACACACAAAAATCTTGGGTCCAAGAACTTAGATATAATATTTTTTAATTTTTTGTTCATAAATAAGTACATGCATTTATATTCATTTTTGCAGAAAGTTGAATGTTATCTTTCATGTTACACAATCACAAATTCACAATGAATAAATAAAATAAAATAAACCCAACATCATTAATTTAAGTGATTAAGAGTTTATGGAAGTCCAATCTTGAAAATGGAAAAAAGAATCTTAGAAAAATTGTCTCCTAAATGAATCCGACAGAATTAATATACAATCATAATAAAAATAATATATCATTTAAAAAAAAAAAAACATTTCAATAATTAAATGCTCTCATACATTGTCATACTATTTTACTTAGTTACTTAAGCCTATTACATTAAAATTATAAATTTATAAAATGTTAACAAAATTCATTAAAAAGGGGAGAAATATTGGAGCAATGCTACAACTATTTATCGTGATCATTAATTATTTTATCAGTTGCAATAATAAATAGGTGGGTTATTGAAACAGCTTTCAATTAAAAGAGATTGATCTGGATAGGCAACGACGGTGACACATTCAAATCTGCTAGAGACGCATTGTTGACATGATGAATTCCCGTCGGCATTTATGAGTCGAGAATTTTTATCAGAACTTTCAATAAAATGACTTGATTTTATTAAATTTTATAATAATTAAATAAATTATCCTTATCATTTTAAGCTACCGCCACTATCTTCCTTGTTAGTTTTCATTTTTTTTTCTCGTTATTGCTAGTCAGAACAAAATATACATTTCGTAGGTTTTATTCTAATCAACTAAAAAAATTCCTTTTCACTTATTTATACTCACAGTTGTTGGTATTTTTTTATAAATCATTTTTATAGGAATAATTGAGCAAAACATCTGATTATGACAGTACCCAGTGGGCAATAGACAAGGTGCCACGTGTATGAGACAAAAGGGCAGGGCAGAGTAAGTAAGTAACGAGGGAGAGGGAGTGGCCCCATAAAAATGAATTTGCCCGAGAAACAAAATTCTAATTCAAATTATATAAAATAATATATTTTTCTTACTTGCTCAACACTTAAAGAATTTCTTAATCATGATGAGCTAGTTATGGTGACAGATGAAGGCATAGGGACAGTGACCCGGTGAGTGCTCACGTGGGGATGGCGTTTGGCTATAGAACTAGACTTGGATGCACTAATATAAATTTTTCTCTATTCTATAATTGGTGGCACTAATCGATTGGAACTTGGAACAAAGGGTCAAATGTAGAAAGCAGATAAAAATCATTAAAAAAAATACTTTTCCTGTGACTTTTGAGCTTTGATTCATTGTCGTCCAAGTGTTTTTCTTTTTTTCCCTCCCTTCCTTTTTTGTTTTGGATAAGCATCATCATGCTTGATAAACTGTTATGTGGAGATGGGAATTCACTAGTCTTTTTTGGAATTTTTTAATGCTAGGGGGTACAGAATTCTATATTCTTTTTTATTAAAAAGGGAAATTTTTTTTATAATTTGTTTTAAGTCTAATTTTTTTTCCTTTTAACATAGATGTACCTTCAATTATAGCACCGAAAATTTTCTCCTTTTTTTGTGTGAATCAACCTTCAGTCTTTTCTTTTTAGCCTGGTCAAAAGATAAAAAGAGAAGCCAAAAGAAATAAAAATAAAAATAATATTAAGTATAGTTTAAGCTTTGATAATAGCCACTTTAATGATGCAATATAGAATTGATTGATGTCCCACCAAAAGTTTGTTTGCAAGTGAATCATTGTGTAGCTTTTTCCTTTTGTTCACATTTGTTAATGAACTTTGATTCCATATATATGCTCCTCTTAATTTCACATCAATTTATAGTCAAAAAGATTGGTCGACCTTCGAATATGTATGGCCATCGGGCATAGAAAGTATGTGTGCACTGCGAGTTGTGAGAAATGAGACTAAACCGATTATCGTTAGGCAATTTCATGAATGCATTGAAATTCAACAAGATGGGGTCTCCAAACAAAACTTTAATTTATGCAACTTTGACGAACAATTCTTGCTGAATGTTAACTTGAAAGTAAACATTCCCGTCTGAATCTCCGTTTATGCTTTTGGGTGACTCGGTTGGCTTTTTCTTACCCTCAACTTTTAAGTCCCGTTGATCTTTTCTTCCTGATATCGTCGGCTTCCCAATGTTCCAAAGCTAATATTCATAGTTTTTTTCTACTTAAACTTGTTGGGTCCATGCTTATGATGAACCTGGCCCAATTGTTTGGGCGCCCTAATCTCTTGTTATAAGAGATGTTTAGCAGCCGTTACAGAAAGTGAGAGACACAAAGGCCAAAGAGAAATGCAAAAAATCGCAAACCAAAGACAAAAATTCTCTAAGGTGCTGTTTGTTTCAATTGAAAATTTTAGTTCACCGGAGAAATATAATTATCAGAGATATACAGGAAAAGTGAATTAGATAAGAAAGTTAAAAAAAAATTGTTTGGTTAGGCCAAATATTATCAAGCAAATTGATTAAAGTTTTTGAAACTTATGTTTGGTTGAGAATAAAATATTGATGTGTAAATGGTATAAAATTACAAATATAACCCCATAAAGAAAGTGAAACCTTCGCGCTTTAGATGAAGGTATTTAGATCTACTAGTGGGTTGCCCATTTGCCATTTAGCCGACTAACCACAAAACACCACCCGCAAGTTGTCATTACAAACAGTAACTTTTCTTGCTTTCTACGACCAAATATCAAATGCTATGCAAATACAACACCTGGGAAAAAATTTCAAAACTGTCTACGAAACATTGCTTTCTTACTTTGCCAATTTGATTTGCATAGGCAACTTTTAAAAAAACCTGAACCAAACAACACTTAGGGTGTGTTTGGTACAAGAGAAATTTTTTGGTGACCGGGAATCATGATTAATGGGAATACAGTAGAAATTGAGTTTACTTGGAATCTTACGAAAGAGGTGTTTGGTTCGCCAAAATATTACCGGGAATATTGGGTAAAAATTACTGATTCCATATTTGGTTTAGAACGAAATATGACTTGGAATATGAGGTTATTTTACAAAAATAACCCCAAACTATTTTTACTTTTGTAATTGATAGATTGAGTCTAGATTTTTATGTGTATTGGGGTATTTTTGTCTCAAAATTTATTGTTGTGTTTTCCCTTTACTTGGTATTCTGATTGGTATTCCGAATTACCATATTATTTTTGGTAATCTGAATAGTGACTTTTCTTTATAAATCAAATTACCGGTAATCCTTGGATATCCGGGAATCGTAATTTATTCTTCTACCAAACATGGTAATTACATTTACCAAAAAAGGATTACTGGTAATCCTCTTAAAAAACTTGAAACAAACACCCCCTTAAGGAAAAAATCCAACACCATTACTGAAGGAAGAAGAAAAGCATATAGAGTAGGATTTTATCTCTTACAGAGATAAACACTTGTCTGAGAAACCTTATGAATAGATCTATCCTTTTAGAGGGTAAGGTGCCTCTGGTTATTGAGCCATAGTGAATTTTGTGTAATCCCATTATTCATAATGGACGTTTTCTGGACTTGATCCCATGATTTTTACACTTCACATAGAAAAGGTTTTCCACGTTAAGAGTTTGATATTCTCTGCTTCCCCTATCTCTGTTTGCTTTGTTGTTTATTGTTTATGTTCACTAATGTTTCCGCAGGCCAGTCTAGTAAGGGTCCAGCTATTTAATAACGAGAGGTTGGGCTCCACGACATAACAATGGTATCAGTGCCAATGGTAGATTGACTTCTGGTGATCCGAGTATTTGAAAATATGGGAAGACAAAATCTTGATGAATGTAGGCAAGCCTTGATGGAAGAGCCAATGTCTTGATGAAAAGCCAAACATTGATGAACCCCATGAATACTCGAAAAAGCTTCTTCTCGAGGGGGAAATAATGTAGGCTTAGGACTTACACTTGAGGGGGAGATATTGAGGAATCCAAGTGTGAGTAAGTGAAATATCACATTAGTTAAGAACAAACTAAGTGAGCATCATATAGTGGAAAGACTTATGCATCTAATGTCTTAAAGTTTTGGGTTGAGTTGTGGTATCTAAACCCACTTAACATCATTGAAGAAAGATCCTTTGAGAAAGAGACGAAGATTCTCTGAGGAAAAAACCCAACACCATTGTTGAAGAAAGAGGAAAAGCCTGAAGAGTATAATCTTTATCCCTTTACTGAGAGAAACACTTGTGTGAGAAATATTGTGAGTAGATCCATCCTTTTAAAGGGTGAAGTCCTCTAATTATTGAGTCAGAGTGAATTTTATGTAATCGCATTATTCATAGTGGAAGTTTTATGGACTTGGTCCTGTGGTTTTTACTCTTCACATTGAAGAGGTTTTTCACATTAAAAGTTTAGTGTTCCCTGCTTCACCTATCTCTATTTGCTTTGTCGTTTACTGTTACTGTTGACTAATGCTTTCGCATGCCAGGTTGGTGAAGCTGAGCTATTCGATACTGAGAGGTTGAGCTCCGCAATACAACAAACGTAACTATTGTTCAATTCGTAACTCTAATTTTTAGGCTGTGACTTGAGATTTGATTTGGGTAAAATGCAAACTAAGTCCACAAGGCTCCCCTGTACACAGTCTTACTCTTGTATCTTCTCAAAGAGGATGTTTCCCAACCTCGAACATTTGACCTTTTAATCACAAGTAACTTTATTGTTTCTCCAAAACCCGCCCCATTGACTTGAGATTTGATGAAACAATAAAATTATTTTCCCTCCTGAAAAATAATACACTACTCTATAGAACCAAAGATCACATTGCGGATGGTAGTAGCTGCAGATACATAGTTGTAGATGCAAAAGAAATGTACAATGATATTGGATTCCTCAAGAATACAAAATAGCTTTAAACTGATGAGTTAATTATACCAA